TCCCAGTCCACACCAGTGCCCCATGTCCCTGAAGACCACCCTAGTGTCCCATCCCCGAGCCCCTCGGCCCAGGTGCCCCCTCGGTGCCACCCGTGTCCCCACGCGCAGCGTCGCAGTACGCGGACAAGGCTCTGCGGAGGTGCTGCGAGGACGGGATGAGGGAGAACCTGATGGACTACAGCTGTGAGCAGAGGACACACTACATCCAGGAGGGAGAGAAATGTGTCCAAGCCTTCCTCGACTGCTGCACACACATCAAGACCATCCGCGACCGCAAGCGTCTCCAGCACTCGCAGCAGCTCGCACGAAGCAAGTGATGGGACGAGGGGTGGAGGAGTGGGAGAAGCTTGGGTGAACTTTGGGACTTCCTCGGGTGAACTTTGGGACTTCCTCAGGTGAAGGTTGGGTGATCCTCAAGTGAAGCTTAGATGAAGGTTGAGAGTTCCTTGGGTGTCCCTTGGGTGAAGGTTGGGTGATCCTCAAGTGAAGCTTAGATGAAGGTTGAGAGTTCCTTGGGTGTCCCTTGGGTGAAGGTTGGGTGATCCTCAAGTGAAGTTTGGGTGAAGGTCAGTTGAACCTCGGGTGTTCCTTGGGTGAAGGACAATTGAACCTTGGGTGTTCCTTGGGTGAAGTTCAGGTGATCCTCAAGTGAACTTGGGTGAAGTTCAGGTGAACCTTCAGCGTATTTTGGGCTTTCCTTGGGCAACACTTGAGTGACCGTTGGGCAATGCTTGAGTGAAGGTTGGGTGACACCCAGAGGGTGCTGAGCTGGTGCTGGGGGTGGTCCTGGGGTGCTGGTGTGGTGGTGGGTGGCACTGGGTGGTCCTGAGAGGTGCTGGGTGGTGCTGGGCAGCGCTGGGGTGCTAGCAGCTCTGCTCAGGGGTCGGGGCCTTGAGGCCACAGTCGAGAGGGATGCCACCACCATCCCCAGGCGACGAGGACGACCTGTTCATGGCCGAGCACGACATCGTCTCACGGAGCCTCTTCCCCGAGAGTTGGCTGTGGCAGGTGGAGCAGCTCACTGACAGCCCCGACAACCTGGGGTGAGTGTCCCACCAGCTCCCACCCTGTGGGGCAAGGTGGACATCATCACCCCCTCCCTGTACACCTCGTGGCCTCTTCTTGACCACTCTGGAGATCAGCTATGACCCCCCCAAGTCCAGACAAAGGTCACTGTCGACCTCCTGGTGCTCCCTTGGGACCATCCGTGACACCTTGGCCAACACCTACAACTCCCTGGTCTAGCTTGGGGACCTCCCTACTTGTCCTTGGTGGCTGGTGACACTCCCCCAGCCTGGCTTGGGGTGAGGTTTGACTGCCTTGGTCACTTCCTCTCCAGGGTCTCAAAAAAGATTCTGCCTGTGACCCTGAAGGACTCCATCACCACCTGGGAGGTTCTGGCCATCAGCCTCTCGCCCAACAAAGGTGTGTCATCCAGTTGGACGATGTCCTTGGGGGTCAAACCAAGATTTGGGAACGGTCCTCTAAAGTCTGGAGGGTTTCCTTCGGCTTTGAGGGATTTCTAAAGTCTTAGTCAGGTGCCCATGGCTGGAGATGTGCCCCAAACACTAAGGAGATCCCTCAAGACTTGGTGGTAGTCCTTGGGACCTGAGGGATCTCCTAAACCTTGGGAGAATTGCTTGGGATTCAAGGGATCTCTTAAACCTTGGGAGGTCTCCATGGACTTGAGGGATCCTCTAACCCTTGGGAGGACTCCATGGACTTGAGGGATCTTCTAAGCCTTGGGAGATCTCCATGGGCCTCGAAGGACCTCCTAACCCTTGCAATGTCTCTGTGGGACTCGAGACGTCTCTGAAAGCCTTGGGGCTGTCCCTGACCCTCCCTGTCCTCGGGACCTCCCCAGGGCTGTGTGTGGCTGACCCTTACGAGATCACAGTGATGAAGGACTTCTTCATCGACCTGCGCCTGCCCTACTCGGTGGTGAGGAACGAGCAGGTGGAGATCAGAGCCATCCTCTACAACTACTGGACCAGAGACATCACGGTCAGCAGGACAACCACACTTGGGCCCTCTGCTTGAGTCTGTGTCCCCCTGAAGGCCGTGACCAACCTCTACCCCCCTCAGGTGCGCGTGGAGCTGATGTACAACCCAGCCCTGTGCAGTGCCTCCACCTCCAAGCAGCGCTACCAGCAGATCCTGAAGATCAAGAGTGGGTCCTCGCGCACGGTGTCCTTCGTCATCGTCCCCCTGAAGCTGGGGCTGCACGACATTGAGGTCAAAGCGGCTGTCCGGGGAGAACTGGTAGCTGACGGTGTCAGGAAGAAGCTCAAAGTTGTGGTGAGTGGTTGTTGTTCCTCATCTTCAACCCTAAGGTGTCCTCGGTGTGGTGATGGCCTTGTCTTCGTGTTCATCTTAGTGTTGGCACCTCGAGGTGAAGATGAACACGTGTGGTCTCCTGGGGTCGTCCCACGAGCTGAGGGTGGTGGGTTAGACTGGCATAACTTTCCGGGACAATCCAGAGGGGTTGGGGAAGGGGAACCCAAAAGCAGCTCCACCTTGAGCGTTGGATTCTCCCCTTGGCAGCCTGAAGGGATGAGGATGGAGAAGACAGTGAAGGTCATTGAGCTGGACCCACAGAAAAAGGGAGTCAGTGAGTGATCGTGGCTGGTGTCAGCCCCATGGGAGGTCCCACTGTGGGTTTGGG